GGTAAATAGCTATGAATGGACCGTCTATTCATTCAATTGGCCTGATTTGATTTTTGCTTGATTGAATTTCATGGATGAAAATGAGTGACGGTGATGGGTTGCAGTAGTAGAACGTGTGTTGATGCTGGAAGACGTCATCTGCCAGTCGAACGTGAGCAAATGTAATGATGCTGATAATTATCTGCTAGTGGAATTGGAGGAGTGTTACCGGTATGTTTAATGACGCTGATACCTGTAGCCACATCTGCTGGTAGAATGGGAGTATATATGAATGGGTATAGTAAACATTTTGGAGCAAAGTGTAAACACAACGGGTATCAAAGGACATAGGTTAATTTCCTGTGATACTTCCTGTCACTATGTAGTTAATACTTCCTTACATCATGTAAATATTTTTGGCTTCATTAAAGCCACTAATTTCAGATATTGGCACTGAGTAGGTAGTGAGTACCTACTAGTAGGTAAAAAATTTTTTTAACCACCTACATTGTTTGTGTTTACCCTAACTATTTGGAAAATAAATGAAGTTTTATGCACTTTCAGCAAAACTCTTCAATTTCACTATACCAGAGGATTTACTAACTGTGAAAGGCCAATGTTAATTAGTCAGATTTGTAAAGTTCTTAGCAACTCCAGTTTTATTTTATCTAATAGTGGTTGTTTCGGACAAATCTTGAGGTGTCAGACCCTGATGCTAAGATAAATTAGTCTGACTTGTACAGTTCAACAACTTTATTATGATTCTATCTAATCCAGAGTATTTCGGACAGAGTTGGTGAAGGTGGAACTCCCGGGAAGCTACGAGAAGCAGTTCTGGGAGATGACGGACGATGAGCGGCGTGAGAGCGTCTCGCTGCTTAGGCAGCAGGGCAACAAGCTCTTCAATAACAAGCGGCCTGCCGAGGCCGGACTCAAGTACAAGGAAGCCATCGCCAGGCTCGATAATCTGATGCTCAGGTGATTCAATAAGTCAGGAAGTGAAGCTACTTGTAGCGAATGGCACCATTGTAGACACTAAAAATATTTGTCAAGCTATCTCTTTGTACAGTCATGCTAACACATACTTGAATTAGTACTGTTTTTACCTATGAGGTATTTTAAGTATTTGGTATGCGGTCATTCGTCTTTTGTGAGCTAATTTTTTGTTTCCTGCATCTTTTGCGTTTCGGTTTATGATTGCTGGTACTTGAATGCTATTTTTGTTATTTTTCTTCGGCTATTTTCGCCACTCCGACTTTTGTCGTGCATATTTTTCTTTTCTTCCGGAGTATTCAATGTAATGAATCAAACACTATTTATTTCATTGAATTTACCCGTTTCGTGCCACATTTTTGTACATTTAAGAGGATCGTCTCGGTCTCATAAAAACTATTTTATTTACGAACAGATCAATTTTAAACTTAATATACACATATGCAAAACAGAAATCTAAGACTTTTTGTACGTGTGATTTTTTTTAAATTACAGAAAATGTGACATTCATAGAATACCGACGGAAAAAAGAGGCCTTTTCAAAGTCTATCTTCTCATTCAATTAACGTGCTACAACATCGAGATACATATCATTCGATTCGTAAATACCCATATCTAGTAATTCGTCATAGCTTTTTCCAAATTCTTGGTTGTGTGGATGGGGGGATTTTTCTTCGGTTTTTAGATATTTGCCCTACTCCCCTTTCCTTGTTGCAGAATATAATCCAAACTATAAAGAAATTACAAAAAAGCTACGACCATTCTCTAGTTCTTTTTTTTACAAATCGAATTGTATATCTCTCAATGATGTAGCTTGAAAATCATAGAAGGAGATAAATTTTTAAGATGCCGTATTATGGAGATTTAATTGTTCAGGGCTGTCAAATAAGTGAAGTTAATTGAAAAAAAAAGAAGAATATGCCAAAAAAATTCTTGATATGGTAGCCCATGCTTTCCCATTGCCTATTATTTGCATTTAAGGTACCTACCAGCACGCGTCTTTACTCTGTAGACTTATTTTTGTCCAGTTTAACGTGTATAAAAAGCTATAAATGGGACTTTATTATATTTATATATATATAAAATTTTCATTTTATCAAAGTTCAAAACGGCCTAACGCAAAAACATTGCATGTACATCCGTGATATTTGTTTTCTTGAAAGCGCATCGTTTGTAGCTTTCGAACGAGTGCAAACACTTTGTAATCAACGCAAATAACGATCTATAAATACTATTTTAAAATGAAAATTAAATTAAAATTAAATGAAATGAAATAGTAGCTTTGTTGAATGCGTCTTGTTTGTAGCTTTCAAACGAGTGCAAACAATCTGCAATTAAGGAGAGTAATGATCTACCTATATATGCAGATTTAATATAAAGAAATCCTTGTACATATTGTTAACATATATGTTCATTTTATATATTTTTAAAACTTCTGTACGCGAAAACTGAGCACGACGCACGTACAAGCGGTTTGCTGCGTTAGACGCGCCTTTTCAGCACCTACAAAATGAGCCAAGAAAACGGAAAAGCTGAAATTTTCGATTTTTGAGTTTTGACCGAGATGCTCCCCTTAACGTTTGTGATTCGATATATTTTTGCAGCTGAATTCCGAGTGATGAAACTTGATAGAGCACTAATGAAGTGGAGGAACTAGTGAAGCACTAGTGAAAAAGGTTAGGGGGAATATACAGTGGGGGGAAATAAATATTCGTACACTTGAAAAATCGTATTTTAATGTATGTAAGTACACAAACTTAACAGGAAAAGTGATTTAAATTATGTATAGAGACGCATAGTATTCAAAAATACTATCAAAAGAAATTAAATCTCAATGCAACAAAAAACANGGGAAGAAACATGGCGGAATTCTTTGCCAGACCAATTTTCGTTTCTGTTCAACTATTTCTCTAACGTATGTTACTGTTTACCTGACTCATTTATACATTAACTTTTGTGCCATCATCTATTTGTTAAGTTTGCTTAAAATCTATGTTCAAATGCTGCATTTCATTTACTTTTAAACTATCTTGCCTGTGTTTTCAACTGCTTTTAAGCTAGCCATCTTTTATTCCATTAGCTGGTAATTTATCCTTTCGTTTGCCATCATCTATTTCTGCGTACTGGTTATTCGAGGCCATCTGCCCTTTGTTTGTGACAAATAATTTTTGACGTAAGAAAATTTGTTTTCTAGTTCTTGTATCTTATACGTTATTTATTTTATCTTATCTCCCGAGATTTTTATCTTATTGGTTGTGCTTTTCTTACTCTCTGTGCGAAATAAATTTGTCTATATTTCTGGTAAGCTCCATTTTCTTTACTCTGTGTTAACTTCATCGTTATTGCCTTGGGGCACCACAAAGCTCATCATATCTATCACCTATCCTATCATCTATAGGATATAAGCATACACAAAGTAAGCTTGTTGTTGCAACTTATTGCAGGGAGAAGCCGGGAGATACGGATTGGGAGGAGCTGAATGTGCAGCGAATGCCTCTTATGCTTAATCTGAGTCAGTGCCAGCTGATAGGAGAGGAGTACTACAGCGTCATCGACCTTTGTACAACTGTGCTGCAGCACCTAAAAGGTGAGTGTGTACAACTGTGCTGCAGCACCTGAAAGGTGAGTGTGTACAACTGTGCTGCAGCACCTGAAAGGTGAGTGTGTACAACTGTGCTGCAGCACCTGAAAGGTGAGTCTGTGCACAACTGCGCTGCAGCACCTGAAAGGTGAGTGTGTACAACTGTGCTGCAGCACCTGAAAGGTGAGTGTGTACAACTGTGCTGCAGCCCCTGAAAGGTGAGTTTGTGCACAAATCTGCTGCTTGCTACTGAGTAAGAACGTAATTCCTGGTGAAGGACTGCAATTAATTCTGTATGAAGTACATATATTATTTGATGTAACGTATTTACGATGCATCTCATGAGCTCCTTTCGAACTATTGATGGCAGAATTTATGGCTTAGTTCTCACTTGCACATTTCTTCCATTTTTCTGCTATTTTCAAGCAGTGAATCTTGTCTATCCATCACTCTGCTCTTCCCCAGATAACCCAAAGGCGCTGTTCCGCCGGGGCAGAGCGTACGCTGCACTGTGTGACGAGCCTAATGCGCAAGCTGATCTCCAGCGCTGCATTGAGGTGGATCCGCTCAGTGAGCCCAGCTGTCGACGCATCCTGGCTAAACTCTCCACTGAAGTTAGAAAGCATAACGAACGAGACAAGAAAATTTATTGTAAGCTATTCAATAGCAACCATGCTGGAGAAGACAGTGCACAGTCCCGCGAGGAAACACTCGACCAAGTGTTACGTGGAAATCAGAAACAAAGCCAAGGAGTCTCCCAGTACCATGGCCAACAAAAAGATGTTCTTAAAATAAAAGAAAAATGTGGATCGGATGTGCATATCTGTAGAAAGGGTGAGAATTTTAAGCAGGATAACCCTAACAATTGCGATAGGGAGATAAAAAAAGATTTTGATAAAAAAGATGAAAAATTTAATGCAGAAGATGAAGGTCGAGTGAGTTCCAGGATGAGTAAAGAAGAAACTACGACTGAGAAAGTAACATTTAGTGACATGACGGAAACCGACATGGAACTTTCGGCAGTCGAAGCAGAGATGAGTTTCTCTGGGAGCAAAGTCGATGCTAGTAAGGACGAAGATACCGAGAAAGAGTATGTGGTCTAGTGGTGCTATTTTGGCTTCCTGTTTGTGCCTAATATTTTATCAAATGATGCTTCTTGTATATGTTTTTATCGTCATCTGCTGATTACGAGTTATTTTTTATCTTCAAAGTTTATTCTGTGTCTTTTCACATTTTAGCTTTTTTATCTTCAAAGTTTATTCTGTGTCTTTTCACATTTTAGCCTGTACAAGTATTAAATATTTTTTAACACGATTTGTGTACACACATCTAATTTGTCAATCAGTGTCAATAAATTCATTTATTTTTAGCTATAAGAATTTTCAGTTTTTACTCCAGGTTTTAGAACATTGATACGCACATGCCATAATATTAGCTCACAAGTGTTAGCGTTATATATTATTTATCTGGAATGAACCATTTAATGTTGCTGTTCTTAAGATGATTGTTGATAATTAATCGTGAATTTCTAATTTTAAGAAAAAATTGAGTTTTTATATTTTAAAGTTTTAATTTATGATTTTAATAGTGTCCTTCTTGTCAGGACTGTCGCATAACTTTAGTCGAGTTATTCCATGAAATTGAATTTATCATGTGATTATATCTGATTATTTATTTATTTTATTACAGAATTTTTATTGTATTTACAATTTGTCCCTATGCAAGCTCTTTTTTTTAAAGGCATCTCAGTTGTGTAGGCAGGATACTTGCACTTCTCAGTTGTGTAGGCAGGATACTTGCACTTCTCAGTTGTGTAGGCAGGATACTTGCACTTCTCAGTTGTGTAGGCAGGATACTTGCACTTCTCCACTCAGTCTGTTTAATGAGGCTGACGATCGTACCAGCAACCTCTTGCACGGGCATCTCTGTTTCTCTTCATCAATAAATTTTTCAGGTGTTTGAGATTTCAACGCTGTTTCGGTGTTATCAGTTTAAATTCATCTATTATTTGAGTTCCTTCCTTTTTCTAGGTGATCAATTACAAGATTAATTGAAACCGTTTCTGTATCGTAGAGTGAAACTAAAGAGGTTTATTTTTCTGCAACATCGACTATATTGCTAAAGCACCCTTGAATTTTCCTCATCAATTCATTGATTGCATTCGTCATTGCTGTGCCAAAGGATATTAACTTCGCTGCTTAATTCATATTAAGTATGAATGCCATATTATTTTAAATGACTGTCTTCATGATGATGCGTTGCATCGACCATGTTAAACGATTTTAATTGGTAGTTATGAGTTTGTACGTTGTTCATCTTATTCAATGCATTGCAGGTCTAGGTGATCAATTACAAGATTAATTGAAACCGTTGCTGTATCGTAGAGTGAAACTAAAAAGGTTTATTTTGCTGCAACATCGACTATATAAGCACCCTTGAATTTTCCTCATCAATTCATTGATTGCATTCGTCATGTGCTGTGCCAAACGATATCATAAATATTATTCCAACTTCGCTGCTTTATTCATATTAAGTATGAATGCCATGATATTTTGAATGACTGTCTTCATGATGATGCGTTGCATCGACCATGTTAAATGATTTTAATTGGTAGTTATGAGTTGGTACGTTGTTCATCTTATCCAATGCATTGCAGACTGATACCGGTACACGTTATGGTACGCATATACGCATGCCATGGTACGTTATTCCTGATAGCACGCGTTAAATGCGGGGAAGCTGTTACGCCTAAGTTTACGGTCTATCATATTTTATAAGGTAATGCAAGACCACAAATATTCGATTAATTTACGTCAACCATTGTTCGTTACTTCAAAGCACTGGGCCCTAAAAACGTACCGCCGGTCAATTCGATCCTTATGAGCCTGCCTATTCAGCTCGCTGACTTGAAGTGTTAACAGGATGATGCCTCACAAGGTTGCCGTTTCCGTGCGTTCATATAATTAACTGTAACGAAATTCGTTCTGGCGTGCGTGAGGTATTCTTTTGTCTTTTGCCTAATAATAAAAAAAGAGTTACTCGGTAACTACGGGAATAATTACGTTCCTTTCATGAACAATAGATACCCTGGCCGGCGTACTCCTGTAAATTTAGTCCGGCCGTCATGTTGGGGGAAGTTACGACCAAATACATGCGCTGTTAGCAAGTAGAAAGATAGAGCCATTTTTGGATGATGTAGCACTCAATAGCACTGACCTTACTAACTTAATACTAAAACGGTATTTATTTTACGAATGACCGACACTTAATACTAATATTTATGATTATTAGACCTTTTTAGTGCATTCTCTCATTCATAAAAAAAAATGCCCTACTGTGCTCGTCATGTCCGTCCGTCCGTCCGCGACTTCATGTTTTCGTCGAGGAGAAAATGCGCTCTCTGTTATTCACTGCAGTGAGTTATATTTTTTATGGTCTAAGCTTATCATCTCTGCACTGGAAATAAATGAGACACACTGGATCTTTGTAGCTTTTATGCGTATCTCATGCATATATAGTCAGTGCAGGCGTCTCACCAAACGAACGAACAAACTAAACATTCCAGATTTTGAATCAATCGCCTGAATTACAGGCATATTTTTTTACTTATGTCAACGATTAGCGATTAATATCAACATTCTAGTTTAATCCAACCTAAAAGTAGTCAAACGGAACAAAACATTGGGCAAAAAAGAATAACGTTTATTAACGTTAATGGCTAAAATTGAAAACGACGAAAATAATCAATATTTCGCTACTAATCAGCGGCCAAAAATTAAATTATGTTACTCGGAACAAGATAAACCCTCGATGAAAATGGAGATACTACTGGGTAGGCATCAAGTGAAGGTGAGTTAGTCAACAGCCATCTTGTCGTCATCGTCATCATCGGTTGTCTTATTATCTTGTTTCTCGCCGCTCCCATCCTCTTTGTTATTCTTGCCAAGAGCCTGAAAAAAAATGATATTCATAAAACTGCACTACTCACGGGATGTTGCAAGTTTGACGTCGAGTTCAATTTTTTTGAACTTTTCACTTTCTTGCATGGAAAGTTCACCTTTGATTCTATAGTTTCAAAGTTATTCAATAATCTTAGAGTCATTCTGAACCAATTTGTTCATTGCACTTGATTCCTCATGAAAGCTTTAGTATGAAGAAATAAGCATTACACGTCAGCGGCCAGACAATCACTGACCAGGATGAAGGCTTCCATGTCGGCCGCGACGGCGGCGACCACGGCCTCGTCCCCGAGACCGAACTGCTTGACGAGCGGCCCCAGCTGCCCCGACTGCAGCGCGTGCGAGAACACGCTCACCGCCTGCCGCCACAGCACAGAGATCAGTGTCATGTAGATGTGAGATAGTGACATTGATGCAAAACGTCACTACCATTAATGTGATATAGTGATATAGATGCAAAATGTCACTGCCGCCACAACACAGAGATCAGTGTCATGTAGATGTGAGATAGTGACATTGATGCAAATGTCACTACCATTATTGTGATATAGTGACATTGATGAAAAATGTCACTACTCATTAATGTGAGATAGTGACATTGATGCAAAAATGTCACTTCCATTATTGTGATATAGTGACATTGATGCAAAATGTCACTACCCATTAATGTGAGATAGTGATATTAATGAAAAATGTCACTACTCATTAATGTGAGATAGTGATATTGATGCAAATGTCACTACCATTAATGTGATTTAGTGACATTGATGCAAAATGTCACTATCAATTAGTTTAGTGGCCACATGTTTACTAGCGCTTCAGCTATCTCGCACCGGAAGTCAAGATGAATATCACCAAAGAGGTGGAAGGTCTCAGTTATTGAAAGTTTCTCTAAGCACAAATTGTTCATCACCCACAAGGGGCGGAAGGTCTCAGATGTCCAGCCCGCTGAAGCTGGCTCGAAGGAAGCAGCGTTAGCATCTCAAAAAGACGAAGTGACAAGGAGGGACAGGTGAAAAGCAACATAAACGAAGACACTCGAACAAGAGGTCGCTTACACGGGACGTCGGCCGCCCGCACGAGAGAGACAGAGAAGGGAAATGTAAGGAATCCTACCTACATAATAACTTAAACCCACAACTGAGACCTGCAGTCAGACACCTCGAGCTCGGTGGTGGGGCGCTCAGGAACAATCCCCCTAGGAGCGCGAACTACCATAGGCCTTCTGACGAGCACAGACACGCGTCAGAAGTCCCCCCCCGGAGGGGTTCACTACCAATAAATGTGAGATAGTGACATCGATGCAAAAACTACTGGCCAATAATAAAGAGAACACTAGTTTGTTAGAACACGCTCACCGCCTGCTGTCGTAGCTAGAGTATTTATCACCAATTAATGTAAATTTTAGATGAAATAGATAATGCTACGCAGCTACAAGAGCTATAGAACTGCCAATCACTGATGACAGCGCCCACTTACAATTTGCCATCATAAGAGGGAACTAGTACTAGTTTCGGTAAAAGCGAAAGTATATAATAATAATTATGTTGACATGCAAAAATATGTAATAAATATGAAGCCACAAATCGGTGAAATAAGTAGTGTTCAATATTAAACGAATACTACTACTCATTTAAAACAAACTATTAAACCCCATTAAACGAATGGGAACGCGCCCACGGCTACTCGGGTCTTGAGGCAGTACGCAACGAAGGGGAAATTCGAGATGAATGGCAAATGATGTGAAAACTTCTAACACATAATTAGCGAACTACTGGTTGATGAGTGAGAACAAGCCCTGCGCCCGTGTGCACGCGCTATGGTAACTCATCAGGCATGAACATTGCTTGTATAGGAAGAAAAATATTACATAAACAAGTTAACAAAATTGAACATATACGTACTATTATAAGTATTATTTCCATTTCATAAGAAGTCTGAAAGCTCGGTTTCAATCCCGGTAAGAATAGCAGAGTTCATACAAGATAACGGAATGGAAGAAATATCCATGTTGGATTGATGCAGTGTACCGGTGGTCACGTAGCTCCTACAAGTTTAGATGCAATGAATAACAAACACAAAAATATATATATACACACGAGCGCTGACCTGCTTGAACTGCGGTGATGTAACGGTGCCTCTGAGCTGGTCAGCGGGGGGAAGGGGGTCGGAAGTGGGGGGAAGGAGGGTTTCTTAAGGTCCGCCAGTTGTATTGGCCCTTGTTTGTCACTGGAAGAGGAAGAAGCTGCAGCAGGTGACGACTCTCCGCCAGTTCCTGCAACGTAAATATCTCGTCACATAAATAAAATAATGTCAAAACACAAAAATAAACATTAATTCTAGTATAATAGGGTTTCCACTAATGAAATCTTACAAATGCTGAATGACTGGGTTTACAGATTATACTTGGTAACAGGCGAGCAACTACAACAGGGATACTAGCCTGCCCATCTAGTCCATTAAATTTAATCCAAATTGCACGAGGGCGATGAACCTTGGCCCGCAGAGGAGGCGGTGGTGGTGGCTGGTGGTGGAGTGGTGGCTGTTGTGGGGGTGGAGGCAGTCGTGGGGGTCACCGAAGTGGTGTTACTGCTGCGACTGCCAGAACTGTTCATATATGAAATGCAAATAAATGTATATGTACCGATAAAATTATTTATTCTGTCAATTGATTCACGCATTGCCTCTGACTTCACACAAGTGTGCAAAATTTCAGATCAATTGGACAGGTAAAAGTGTGTCAAATATCAGTTATAAGATTTGTAGCCGACAAAAGCATTTTTAAAATTTTTTTAATATTGAAAAAAGTTTTTTTTTAATTTTTAAAATAATTTATTTTGTCATTTGATTCATGCATTGTCTCCAACTTTACGCAAGTGTGCAAAATTTCAGATCGATAGGATAAGTAGAAGTGTGTTAAATTTCCATTATAAGATTTGTAGCAGACAGACAAACAGACAAACAAGAAGCGAAGTTAAAGAGAAGTGTTGTAATAACAACATAGCCATTTTGCGTTTTCATTTGAAGGTTTCTACCTAGAATAGTTCTATAATTTGATCCGGGTTATTTTGATTCAATTATTTGGCTGAGTATTCAAAATAACCAAGATATAATTGTTAGAGCAGTTCTGGGCCCATACTTTAAAAACTCGCTAAGTGAACGTAGGTACTTACGCTCTATTTTCTTGTATATGATTGGTGGATTTTGCTTGAAAGGCCGTCAATGATTGGCTGATGAACTTACGATCTATTAACTTTTTTGAAAGTATGGGCGCTGGTCTCATATTAACGGTACTCACGTGGGCGCGACCAGGGAGCTGAGGTTCGGCACGCCGCTGCCCAGGATTTGCATGAGCTGTTGCTGGGAAATGTTGCCGATGATGTTGGCCAGATCAGCGTCGCGTAGGTTGTTAAGCATGTTGCTGCTACCTGAACCACCACCCCCGCTGCTCACACCACCACCTGCAGCATGTAAGTTATCATGCACCGATAAATGATAAGATTGTATCATGTACCGATAAATGATAAGGTTGTATTTATCATGCACCGACAAATGATGTTCATGCTGGCAAGCTCAACTTGTACATTGAGTAATGCTTATACCTTGTACCATCAACAAGACCCAACATAGAAACTTTCTAGTCTATTTGGATCTCAGCCCATATTTAGTTCTTTGTAATGTCCAGTGCCAAATCCACCCCAAAAAATATATAAGTTGTGATTTTTTCAATGACTCGCTTCCTGCTTTCCATTATTAATCAGTGGGGAGCTCTGCCCAAAATAAAGGTGCTCCTCAAATGAATTAACGGTTTATCAAAATTATTTTTTCTTGACCAAGCTCTTATAATACCATTTCAGAGCCTCTTGAGCTCGTTCATTGGATCTGTACAAGCGAAATCTCAAGTTCATTGAGGATAGGTTTTAGAAATACAGGTAGCACAAGATGAGTTACTGGTCTAATATTTATTTCAGGTATAATCTTTAACACATTCATACATGTGGCTGAACATTTTATCACTATAGCACAGCAATGACTGTGGTGCATTCACGGTTCATTTGTAAGCAGAAAAAAAAAAACAGCCGAGAAATTGTGATATATAGGATGATTTCCATTTATAATAATAGAAATTGGCACTTAATAATCATTCATCTACGAAAGGCATATCATTAATCGCCAAATTTTCTAACTAACTTTCAAATGAAAATTCTTTAATTATGCTAAGTTTCATAGACAAATGGCTTGCTGCAGCTGAGCATTGATTATTGGTGAGATCGGCTCGCTCAGCCATCCAAGCTGACATATAGCATGACTGAAAAAATTTCCAGTCAATCTTGTCAAAAGTGTTGTGCTAGTGAATTGTAATGCTATAGAATTTATGGTTTGTGGTACTTTACAGTCCACAGTAACAAAAATCACCGGAGATGCTGGCCCAGAAACATTGACAATCAAGACGTGTGAGGTGAGACAAAGTTATTTCAAACGAGTCTTGCGTAATGTCAGGGCTGAAGCTTTTGCCGTCATTGCTGTTCTCCGTGAGTTTTTCAACCAACACGAGATCTAGGAATTAAACTATGCATTTGACACTACGAATTTCTGAACCAAATTCTATTGCAGATTAGAGAATCAATTCGATGAATGGGTTAGGTTGCAGGAGGAATCGTTTAAAACCAATGACTGGATATACAGTTAAAATTTATAAGGCTCATGTATAGTAATTTTTCAACAATTGCCTGATGACCATACTAATCATTTAACCAGATATATAACAATTGAAAGTTTATGTATATATAGAACGGCTTTGCGGTCTGGACTAAGTTGCGGTCTGACGGGCACAGACTCCTAAGCAAGTGTAAGGCAACAAAACCAGGAAATTATTTTCAAGCCGAGTACGGACGGACATCGCACGATGTTCAATACTAAAACTCTGACTATGATCGCGAACATCTTTTTTGTATGATGAAGCGAAGTGCTCGGATGGCCTACATGGCAATGGTGTACATGGCTACAGCAGAGCAGGGGAGACAATACTAGAAAAACAAGAATTGTGAAATGAAACAAGACGCTGACAGGAATGAGCGCACATGAAAAAAAAACGACGAAGGTTGGTTAATGCAGAATGACAAGTTATTTTCGGAAGGATAATACGGTATCCAGGGCTTCAGCATATAATTAATCGCAGGCTAGCGACCCGAATAAAACATTTTTATAAGCTGCCATTGCACAGACGGAACGATTAGCATTAGATCTAAAATTATCGTGCACAGCAAAGTTGCCAGTCATGTAGCCGTGAACAACACTGCAGAGACAGAACTGGAAGTCATTGTAGGTTCAGTATCGAAAAATGAAGAACCTAATGAAATGTATTAAGTAATTTTTCTGGCTACAGCACCAAGTTGCCAGAAGACAAAAGACGGTACCGCCTTGGCAAACACTGAGTGATGGACAATTTAACTGCAGGATAATAAGGATGAACTGCAGGATGAACTGACATAAAATTCAAGATATTTTCTCCTTAGATAACTGAAGTATTGCTTTGATAGCTGAAATTATACCTTGTATTAAAAAAAACATCAAAATTTTTGGCTATGAAAATGGTACAACATAATGAGGACATAACTGATGAATAAAGATTAACACGAAGTTTCCAAAGTTAGCTGCGAATGCTATAAAATTGTGCATTGGTTTTTGTTTCAAATTGCCTGCGTTTACAGGGCAAGGTATTAAGAAGTACAATTAGGATTTAATTTGCAAGGTTCATCCCAGCTTTCTAGTCTATTTGGATTAGGATACACCAGCAACTCAGCGTCAACGTTACGAGACTCCCCGGTTTCTTTGGTAAACAAGACGTTACGATTTCATCCTTTATTATAATTATTAAGTAGAGCATTTAAGAAAAAAATATAAACTTGGATACAGTGTCCACACTGAAGAGAATTTTTTATTTTCATTGCCAAGAAAGCAGTTCAAGAAGGAAAATAAAGAATAAAAATCTAAAATTTCCAACAGGATTCAAAATCAGTCGAGTGCATTTGGCCGTGGAGCTGCAGACGGAAAGACGCGACGCTTCATTGAGGCTGAAAACTTTATTGTCAACTGCAATTGTTCTTCTACGCAGCAGTGACACGATTGTTCACTTATTTCCAAGTTAGAGGAAATAAAAATTAAAATCGAGAAATTAAAGCATGATAAGAAACACTAAATGAAATTTTGAATAACAAGCGATTATATACATATTCAAGACTATATTTAAGGTTAGGACTTTCTTCTAGATTTAAGATTTTTTCAGCAAAAAAAGGTGAAGTATAATAATTATACTGTACATTAATGTAACAAAATAAAAGATAACAGAAATGAATGAAAGCATTTATAACAGTATAAAGCAAGCATATTTCTATAAGAATCTAGTCATGTGCCCACCAGAGCATATTTTATATATGAATTTACTTTATGGTACTGTACATGAATATTTATATGAATATTTTTACTTTATATGAATATTTCTATATGAATTTCTTATGAATTTATGCATATTTCTATACGAATTCAAGCATATTTCTATATGAATCTTGTCATGTGCCCACCAGAGCGCGAGGACGCTGAGTGGGAGCCAGGGGTGGGGGGGTTGTTGAGANTATTGGGCCCTGCCAATGAGGAGGCACGTGAGAAAACTTATTGGGTCCAGCCAATCAGGAAGCACGTGATCAAACTTATTGGGTCCTGCCAATCAGGAGGAAAGTGAGCAAACTTATTGGGTCCTGCCAATCAGGAGGCACGTGAGCAAACTTATTGCGTCCTGCCAATCAGGAGGCACGTGAGCAAATTAACGTCTGAGTCCCAGCAAATGGCTTGCTAGGACTCAAGAGATACAAGAGCGACTGGTCTAAATACAGAGGTCTTTTTCACTCTTTTGTGGGCATCCTGACAAAGTTTGTCCTGGCAAAATGGCATATCAGTGCTACGTCTACTCCATACTTGTGTTTTGGGTAAAGAATGTTAGTCCCTAATTGGACAATATGACACATAAACTCTTCTTAGTGTTTGTAATCTCGATAAGGAAATGAGATAAGCTATTGGGAGTGGCATCCAAGATGCATTCATCCCTCCAAAAGTATGAATAGATTGTACATACAACCAGTGACTTTCCTCAATAAAAAGATTTAGCACAAGTCACCAATTAGTCCATGTTGTGTAAAATTAAAATATAATAAAGATTTATCCTTTACCTGCATCCAGAAGAAAATGCGTCGGTTGGTGGACCGAAATCTGAGGACATAAACGCGCCCAGTCGTGCAGGCGCTGCATCGCCGGTAATCAACATCATCAGGGAAGATAATCAGGTCCTGCAATGGTTGAAGCCTTTACTCACGGAACAGTATTGAAAATATTATTGTATATTTTATATAAATTTATACATACTCTGAGAACAACCATGTTTATACATACTCACAGAACAGTGTAATAAATATATAAGTATATTTGTCTCTGAGAGCAACCATGTTGGGAACATGGGTTAAGTGACAGAAAAATTACAAAATGAAGAACTATCTCAAGCTCAATAAGACGAATTTGTCAACAAGGATCTTCTCATGGATGTTTATACATTCTTTATAATTTGATAACCATCATGAAACATAATGGTGTCCTAATAGTAAATGCACACAATTATTAAAACAATGAATATTAGGCTGAAAGACAACTAATTGAAGATATTTTTAATTAAATCTCATCCAATTAAGCAATAAGGAATTCATCTATTTATTTGTGAATCAGTTTGACATGTATGAATATTTTTAGAAATTTCATGTGACATATACCTATATAAGCAAGTATTCATAGGATGAAAATTACCTTTTCTCATGATTGCAACATGATCTGCTAATAAACACCAAGACAACAAAAAAGTTTGCTATTTCCCTCAGTGATTTAACAGCACCATGTGTGCAAATAACATTTATTAAGGGGAGCGTCTGGGGTCAAATTTATCTCGGTTATTTACAGACGGATCGATTCGAAATTTGGTACACGTATGTAAAACGGAATTCCAAGATTTTTTATTCCTGTGAATTTTTCGAAAAAATGAAAGAAAACGTGAAATTCATAGAAAAGGGCCATAAAAGGGGTACTTCCGAAAACTTATCTTTTTCCAGGATTTTCAAGGTACAACATCGAAACACATATCATTTGATGCGTAAAGACCATATCTAAAAAAGTGTGTATGCGTTTTTTTTGAAATTCTCATTTTTGTGGGTGTGGGAGAATTTTTGTTAAGTTTTTGATTTTACCCCCCCCCCCTTTTTGCAGAATAAAATCTAAACTATAACGAAATTAGAAAAACGCATACACACTTTTGTAGATATTTTTTTCCCAAATCGAATTGTGTTTGTCTCATTGATGTAGCTTCAAAACTCTAGGAGGAGATAGATTTGCAGTGACAATAAGTCAACTTTTCAGTACCTAGGGCGCGACAAAGTCGCGCGCGCCTCGAAGAAGACATTCAAGGGTGCCAGGTTGCAAGACTAGACGATATTGGAGCTCAATTTCTGTCAAGGATGGTGTGAACGACGGCACGAGAACCATCCCATATGACTGCAGGCAGATAACTGAAGCACAGCGTGTTCAGACTAGCTATTCAAGTGTGATACCGGTAATTTAGGCCTATATTACATGCTAAGGAACTCCACCACCCCTAACCCTTTCGCGATCTGTCGTGAACGCATAAATCAACGTACAGAGATGGTTTTGGTACCGTTAGATGCGTCAGAATGTAAGCTTCAAGATGAGTATAAAAACCGAAAAAGTAAAAATTTTCGATTTTGACCCAGACGCTCCCCTTAAGGTCAAGCACTGAGACCAAGAACTGACCACCAATTAGCTTGTTCAAGTGAGGTATTATATATACTGCATACTAATGAACCAAGACTTTTGTGGGAAGAAAAACCACGCTAGCAAAATCTAAATAAATGACAATGCTGTTATGAACAATACTTTTCAGAGTAACTGTCAGGTTAAACAATAACAATGCAAATTAGCAGGAATTTGACTGAAATAGTTAACAAGAAAATTACAGTCCAACTATTCTCTGCATAATGACTTGCTTAACAGTTTATGGACCATTGATTCATTGAAGTGCATCTTACTTCTTCAACTGAGCCAGTGGTGCGATCCTTCCAACAGAAGTGCATGAGGGAGTCATCTGACTGGTAAATGAACAGCAAGCCCTTCCTCTTGTCAGGATGAACAATTTTGCCTTTGAGGTGCATTTTTCCAGCCTGAAAATAAATTGTAATTTAGCTTGTGAATACGTAATAGACCAAGATGAGAAGTTATATCAATAAGAAAGTTGTCATATGTTTGCAGAAAGAGCAAGTGTGGAAAATAACTGTCAGATGCTGTTTCTGAACATTATCATCCCATCTGAGCAATGTTTATCAAACTTTGATAGGTACAATGCATGAGCATTCCAAAGTGTATGAAACACTTTCAAAGTGTATGAAACACTTTCAAAGTGTATGAAACACTTCCAAAGAATGAATGGATTGTGTGAGCATATGAATAAAATTTTAGTTCAGTTAGTAAGAACTTGTCTCCCTGACATTAATATTTGACACCTAAGAATACTCCATTTCAAAATAGAACAACTCCATAATATCTGATTCGAACTTTAATGTTACAGTTTACAATTATACTGCACAGAAAAGTCAAGCTGATATTAGCTATGAAAAATTAGTACCTCCAAATTATCCACCCATTAGAATTAAAATTCAAGTTTTAATTTGCTTTTCCATTTTACTGGTCAATGATATGGGATTTCACTGAATGTTGTTGGTAATAACTGTACTCGCAGTGTATAGTTATTCAAATCATAGTGTCTAGACATAGACAACATTGCTATGCTTGGTGTCTCCCCATCTAAACCATGCCATAAATTAGGTACACCATATCCAAGACCTCTTGCCATCTTTTGCAAGAGATGCAATATTCAAGCAATAAATGAGTATGAAAGGCCTTTGTTATATTTCATAAAAAATCCAATGCAGCTCGAACTAACCTTAAAATTGTCAGCACTTGAGGCTAATTTAATTAAAAGTGAATGATAAATATTATCACTAACACATGATGTTAGCTGACTGAATAATTCACCCTAGATAGAAAATAAGCTCAAGGCACAACTCAAATTGGATGACACAAAACATTCGAAGCAATAAATGAGCTAATTATATTCAGATTATATTCAATACTAATGCACATGGTTAACAATGTTTTCAAATAATCAACACACATTGTAAATTAATTAAATATTTGATCTTGCATCTTGCTTAACACAGACTTAGCAGAGAAACAATTATTTATAGTAAGAGAAATGTGTGCCATTGTTTTATAACCACTTTTGGTCCCTGAATTTAATATCAGGATGAAATTTTGGATAAATATTTGCTTGCAATATGATAGCAAAAAAATTGCCCAAATTGATTGACCTGCAAATATAAATTGTCTATAACCAAGGATTTATAAAATAGCTGCATAGTAATTTTGCTTGGCAACTTAGAAACAAAAGATTCCTGTAAAATAATCCCTAGCAAACCATTAAGCTTGTCCAAAAAGCACTTAGACTAAAAATAGAGCACTCACTCTGAACTCAACAAGGTTCTTGCTGGAAGCCCTAGCAGCACTGCCAAAAAGAGCAGATGACATGGTGCAAGTCCTTTATTTTCTCTGCAGGGAAAAACTAGCAATTGGAAGACAAGATTAAAATATACATATATTAGTGAAAAAATTAAAAGTTTGAGTTCATTTTTCAACTTACTATTAAACTTTTTAAAACGAGTGGAAACCTGTAACAGAGCCATAACTACAGTCAACCGGGGCTACTCGGGACGATTTTGAATGTTTTTCAATCATAACTTCTTAACATGAAACATTTCATAAACAAGTTTAGCTCATTTAAAAGCTCTTTGCAAGGGCTATCATATGGCTTCTCCAAAAAATTCCATATGCTATTTGTAAGGTGCCAGAAGCAAAAAAAAAAAAAGAATGTCCTGAGTAGCCCCGTCAAATGGGGCTACTCGGGACACTTGGAATAAACCTTCATTTTAAAACATTTGAAGCATGCAGAGTGTACTCATCCATTACTAACAGTACTCTGAAGTCCTCCTCTTTCATTGTAGATGATGTAGAGGTAGAATAAATGGCTACCATTTTTTTTTATTGAGTTATATAAATTCTGCAAATAAAGTTTTCATGCTGACACTTGTCTGCCACTTTTTTTCTAAGCAAAATTTTTCAATACACCAAATATTTTTTTTACTACAGACCTTAGCAGATGTAACTTTTCAAAATAGTTTTTCACCATTTTTTCAGAAATTTTTCAAAGCTAGTACATGTAGTATTTTTGAACTTCCTTTATAGTACTACATAGATAGGAAAAATGTTGATGTTTATGCCACTATATTTAGTTATGCAATATTCCAAATAGTTTTGCTACTAAAACAGTTTTACCTCGTGTCAGAGGACTGTCCCAAGTTACCCCACCCATCCCGAGTAGCCCCGGTTGACGGTATAATTGGACAACTTCTAATTCATTCAAATTCAAATCTATCAATTTTTAGTTATAAACTTGATTGCATAACTTATAATTTGATTATCAAATTTGACCAACAAAATTTGACTTTTATTTTATATATGTCAATTATTTAGTATACTGATGAATTTAGAGTTGATTAGATCAATCTTATGATCTTTAGGCATTGTTGGAAGCAAGGAAGATATTTTTACAAATAAACATTTCCATGGTTTCAAATTCATTTCCACTTCTAACTAACAATTATAGTCTCTCCCTAAACATTTTCAAACACCACAACATATTTCTCCACCCACTCCCCTAACTGGAAAAACAGGATATCAGGGAGACTCATATGCCTGCATAAACTTTGCTACATGCTTTTAAAGAAAAAAAAATTGCTACAAATGCCAAAGAATGCTTGAAATAATAATTTAAATATAATTGGACTCCTCTACCCAATCTAGGAAATATCTGAACCAAGCACAAACAAAAAGCAACAATCAATTGGATCTTGCCACAAAATACATCATGGCCACATCTCAATGATTTTAAAGAATGAGAAAATGTCAAATAAGTTTCAATAAAATGTCAACAGTTGTGAATAAAAAATGTCAGCATTAAGGCATCCACATTGAAGTATTACTTTGCAGTAAAGGCAGTGTGTACTAAATGTACCAGAATCACAATGAACTAAAATTACTTTTATCAAAATCAGCACAATATATCAAATGAAATAAAGTGAATAATTCCTATATTGAGAGGAATAATAAAGTGAATTTCAGGAAAATTACTCAATACCATGGTAAGACCTACATATTCCACCTAAATCCTTTGTTCTATGCTAAAACCGAATTCTGTCGCAAGTAGAAAAATTAGTACATGTCGGACTTGTCAGTCTGTCAGAGTCAGGGAAGTGAAATTTTCAGTTGGGCATGGTCCTCACTCCTCAGTTGCTGCACAGCCAAGGATAAACTATGTGAATGGCATTTTTTAACTATTTACTGGTTTTGACCATTCATTCCTTGAAATTTTACCATATGATCTTGTGTGAACCTGTGAAGCCATGTTATTAATAGTAAAATGTATATTCTCATTTTATTTTTATTTTTCAAAAGCAAATATGGAAAGTGACTAAGACTCTAAGAGAGCCTGGAGCCCAATTTAAAATATTATGCATGCAGAATTTTTAAAAGTTATGAGCAAAAATGATATTTGCACAGAATCCACACACGTTATTTGAAAACCATAATAAAAAATGAAACATTTTTCAATAATATAACTGAAGAAAAAGAGCAAGGGCTAAAGAAATGGGTAGAATTCTCCACAACCACAGGAGCAGAACTTCAGAAGTTCAGAAGAGCATACCGTCACTACCAGTAAGCACTAAGCAGTAGGGTAAACGCACCATATTCCGACAACCGACATCGTGAGTAATTCTGACACTTCTCAACTTTTTCCTTTATATTAAGCTTTGTCTTAGTTCCACGCATGCGTAGATGGTTGAAATAGTAACTACATACTATTGCGCGCAATATTGTCGCAAAACACTAGGTCTAGCATGAAAATGTTAAGATCCTCAGAGCAAAAGTCCACATCACCCAGTGAGAACATCAAAACGTGTGCCAAAGTTGATAGTTGACCTTGCTCTACCAAATAGTGATAAACTGTTTGTGTAGAAAGAACATTATGGTTTGAGACTTTTAACTAAGTCTGTGAATATATTAGGAATCCTTCAAGTATACTTGCATTGGCTGATTTTAGATGATTAAGTTGAGAGACGGTTTTAGACACATAAAAATTCCAACACAGCTCACATAGGGCATCAGAATTCTAACACAGGGGATTGGAATTATTAATTACAATTTTGAAGCTCTGTCGGTAATACTTTAGATCATGTGCATCCAAAAAAAGGATGTTTTTTTATTTTAATTATATGTTTTTTGAGGTGTAGATTAAGAATCTGAAATCTGTTTTTGGCGGTTGGCATTGGAAATTTATAATGGAACCTGTTCCTAACTGGACCTAACCTGCAAGGTTTTCGTTGGTCGGCTAGCTTTTTTCTATGTTTGGAGTCTGTCCGGCAGCTGGAAAAACCTAGCCAATAGGTTTTTTCTATGTTTGGAGTCCATCTGGCGGCCGGAAAAACCCAGCCAATCAACAAAAACCTTGCAGGTTAGGTCCAGTTAGAGTTAGGAACAGGTTCCATTAAAAATTTCCGATGTCGACCGCCAAAAACGTATTTCAGATTCTTAATCTACACCCCAAAAAACATATAATTAAATTAAAAAACATCCTTTTTTGGATGCAATTAATCTAAAGTATTACCGCGCTATCGGAATTAGTCTCACAATATGCCAAATTTAGTCACACACAGCATCGGCCGTCGAGCATCGGAATTCAGCAATTTTGTAAATTTGAATTCTAAAGGCTTTTAAATAAATATGGCAAGATTGGCAACAGTTTGTGACGTTTCATCATTCATCATTGCTGGCGTGTAGTGTGGTGTTGTGAGAGTGACGCAAAGCAATCAGAACTTGAGTTGCGCATACAGTGATCTTTTTATAGCCATTCATTTCTTACTACGTCCCTACCACTGTGCAGAGAGTGGATGAATATTGCAAGATCTTTGGCAATGCTTCAGTAGCAAAATTTTTGCCTTCAGAAGATTTTGCCAACAAATTTAGATTGAAATTCTTGCATTTAATATATTTTGTCAGTCTTCAGCCAACTATTTAGAAAAAAGTAAGGTTTCCAGTACATTGGATGGATCAGGATGCAGTGAAGTTTATCCAGTTGTCCGGAAATCAGTTGCGATGAGTTCCCGCCAAAAAAATGTAAACAACTTTACGATTGTGTAGTTGCGGTCACATTAGAGTGGTCAGACTGCATTATCACATGTTCAGCTGACACTTGCTGTACAATTGGACTGTTTTTAGGGTAAAATTAGTTATTTGGGGTAACACGTGCATGCAATGATGCAACCATGTAAATAAGTTTGTGGCTTGTAAATAGTTTTTCATTACTCAGCGGAAATGGCCTTTCATTAAAAATTACGCGGCGACACATCTTGAAAATGGTTGGCGACGCTTTGGGCTTAAAAACCTATATATTGGTGATGCTGCTTCCACCCTCTGCACCCTGGCATCCCTAAAGTGTCAGAATATGGTGGGTTTACCCAAACTGGCCTAACAGCCTCTAACAGCTTTTGAGCCATAACAAATAACAGGTGAGGTGAAACTGCCATGAAAGCTCTCAGGCACAGAGCTTTAGCAGTTTAGCTTGAATTTTGGACCCACAATCCCACATGAACATGATGATTCCTGCCTCCTGGAATTTCCTGCTGATTCAAATGCTGAAGATTTTCAGACCCATGTGATTCCTCTCAATTATCAACAAAAGGCAAAAGGTACAATTGAGCCACATGATTGATGATTCAAATTTTTTTTTAAATTTCAAATTTTATTAATGCCTGAACACTGAATAGTAATTAAAAAAAAAAAAACTTCTTGCTAAATGCTACTTGTTCCAACACAGGGCAGTAGGCACTCTTCAATCTTCATTCAATAATCTATAAGGTAATTACAATAATTACATACTAACATACTACATACATAATCATGATAATGTTAGTACACTGAAAAGTGAGTTACAAGAGACATTTGATCCAGCACTTTCAGTCATTGGAATCAATCTCAGTTGCAATAATGTGGCAAATGGTGATTCAATCATTCAATCAATACAATTGACCATACTAGCTCCACTACTACGTATAGGCCTATGCCAATACTATAGGCCTATCTCTCATCAGGAGTAAGAATTCAAACTTTTTTCAGGATCACACTAGGTATAGGCTAATGCAGGATGGAATTCTAAAATTTACAGTTCATATATTATTTTCGCTACACCTAGACCAGTTTTTCGATACAACATTATTTGAGGCAAAAAAATTAACTTCTTATAGGCTTAAACACGTATAGGTAAAGGTATAAAAAGTTTCTATAAAGTAATCACTTAACTTGGAAATGTTGCGTGTCTNTAAATTCTATTAGAAAAATGTTGAATTAAAAATCTGATTATATTTTTTATATTAAAAATTAATTTTTATTGAATTAAATTGTATAGCATGGGGTAAGACAGGACCAACTGGCAATTCTCATGTTACAAGGTTTTTATATATTATTAATGCACTATATGGTACGTGCTCTATGTTTTATATAATGAAATAGTTTCCCATGTTAAACAACGAAAATTTTCTAAAAGACACTAAACGTTCAAAAACGCGGGATGGCAGACAAAATCATTCAGAATTTGAAGTATAAAGCACATTTACTGTCCACTCAGCCCGAGTGTCCAGACGCAGAATTTCAGAACTGCAGAAGGAGTCTGAAGGAGTAAGGTCCTAAGGACTAGGAACTCAAAAAACATGGACCTAGTTATGGTTTTATTAGGCACCGCATCAACATCACTGACATTCTTCATTAACACTTGTTTTGCCAATATATTAGGCTAGTAGAACAAAATTTTTTATCATGATTCAAGAACGATACCAAGACAAAACAATTAGGTAAATTTAATTGAAATTACTTAGAATAATAAGATTTCCAACTAGTAGCAACGAAAAAGCTTCGCGAATGCTGCTACATGAACCGGACTCCGAGCAAGGAGGAATAGGACTACCGGTAGGTAGCCTACTTCTGTGCGCAGCAGGAGAGCTGTACGGCTTAAGCCGCTACAGAATCAAATCAACTAACTTACTTGGTTCAGTTGGTTGAAAACTTAAAATGAGGCGCGTACCAACCGGAGTATTTGCGCCCTCACACCGCAGTCTTCAGTATGCACTAAATGTTGTTGAGCATGTTGGTGACTTTAAATACCCGTAGGCGTAACTGGCCGTAAGTGTGACTTTGACGGTCGAGCAACCAACTATGGGAGCGCTGAGGAACAAGAAGTGCTGACATTTACTCAGCGGTCTGTTTCTTTCTCGGTTTTGATAGTAATAGTGCGGTTGACAATAGAAACAATATGTCAAAATATTTGGATTAGAGCAATGTTTACAAAAAATTTATGGAGGTAAAAACGAATAGATTTTTTAATTCTGTGTATGCACGTATTAGTTAGCGGTACAACGTGACTGTTCAAGACATCAACGAATAGTATAACGGTCACAGTTCAAAGCACTAAGTGAAAAACGTTTATTTTCGACTGAAAACATAATACGAATGCGTTATCAATTGATTTGTTATTTTAATAATTTAAAAGGGCGACATATGTTTCCATTTCACTACTAAATTTTCGGTTGTCAAGCATTGTAGTGACGGAATTGAATAATTAGTAGTCAAATTTCGCCGATTATTGTAACTTTTCTGAGTTGTCTCCTCGTAATCCTGGAAATCTGAGAGTTGTCATTTTGACCAGGTCTATGCAAAACTGCCATTTGAGCTAAGCAGTCATTGATCATCCACCAATCTGCGAAGTTGAGAGGCCCTTCTGTAGTCCAATTACACATAGGCACTTCTAGTTCTCCGCTTAGCTTTGTTCCACATGTCGGTGACTCGAGGCGAGAAGTGTTGTCAGTTGTCACATTAATGAGTTGCAGTAATAATCGGCAGCTTACATTTGCTACCAAGATATACCCTTCAGGGTAGCATTGTGTGGTTGATATTCCCCTCTGAACAGTTTACGCTTTGAGCTGCATGGGCTGGCGCCGTCGATTTATAGCTTTCTACGCGTGAGCCAAAGAAGAAACTCGTGAGGTCGCTCTTAAATTTTTCCTAACTGTGATGCCCATATATTTACTTCCACAGTTAATCATTACTAATCATGAAAGGCACAAATACTTTTCCTTTGGTACTCAACAGGTATTATCTGGTAGCCTAATATACATGAAGCTATGAAACCGAGTCAATGAATTTGCTTTTGAATATTTTCCATTCGCTTGTATCAATATTAAGTTATGCCGGAAAATTTTGACTAATTCATATTATATTATTGAGCGCTAATAATATTGTATTTATTCACATTTAAACAACTGAAACTTGCCTCAGCCAAACTCTGATCGATAGTTAAATTTTAATTGTTTGTAAGTATTTAGAATTAATTGGAAACAGCTACGGCGGATTTATAATTGATTACGTTGATGACAATTTTAGTGTGAGATTAAATGATGAGTTTAGATAAGTTAAATGTTTTCCTTTTAAAATCCTAGTGTCAACCATGAACCTTATAACAGAACCATGAACCTTGTAACAGAACCATGAACCTTATAACAGCATCTTAGATTTCGATGAATTAAACGCTAAATTCTCAAAGAAAAGATATGGAACTGATCAAACAATCCTGTAGGTGGACTTCAGCTGAAATTTATACAACCCTTTCAATTAGTGGTCAAACAAAAATGACAACGATGACAAAGTTGCCCCTCGTGTGCTGATCATTCCATCTACTAGCGTACATAAAGCAAAAAGCCAAAGGCGAATATCGCCTTCGAACTTTGATGATTATTGTGCGTGATGACCTCTTTTGTTTTGTGTACACTTTCAGTTTGGCATCAGAACTCGTAGCTAGTAAAAACACGGCCAAGATAACGTATTAGACAGCAGCCGTGCGTCCGTTGCAGGAAATGTCTACATTGGGACACTCGAGTTACACTTGGCAGAAGGTAGCTCCTGACTTATTTTCGATCCATTGCAGTTTATTCGTGATTTTGGTGTAAACTCCTGGTTCGGAGGCCGAGGCACGCTCGGTTTCCCAGGACACAGTCTCCAGAAAGACACGATTTCCCAGGACACTGCCTCCAGACGTCCGCCAGACGGCACCGTCAGGGGTCCACCCAAGTCCCACCTGTCATGCGTCCATGTCCACATACAGCGTGCAGAACATGTTGTCAGTTAGGACTGTCGGGTACAGGTAATAATGAGAGGAGAGAAGTTTTGTGTGCTCACGATGGGTAAATAAACTTTTTTGTGAGCTACCGACGTGAATACTCGGTAACTATCGGTGCACCATCCCGGGACCGTCCCCAGATGTCCATCGAAGTCCGAGCTGAAGAACTTGAAAAGCAGACACACCGGTGAGATGGTTCGGACGTAACTAACTTTATCAAAGCGATATCATTGTTGAAATTATTTGAGTCGTAATTAGAATACGCAATTTTTAGCGCATTTTCTCATTTATGGAAAAAATGCACTATTGTGCTCGCCATGTCCGTCTGTCTGTCCATCCGTCCGTCCGTCCGTCTGTCCGTGACCTCAAGTTTTCGTCGGCGAGAAAATGCGCTCTCTGTCACTCACTGCTGTGAGTACTGAGTTATATTTTTGATACTTTCACGCGTGTGCCAGATTGTGTGTTTGGCACAAGCAAACGCGCTCTAAGCGCCAATTCTACATTTAATTGCAGCAAGCAGTGTGTGGCTGTCAATTCCCATTGGTAGGAGATGAGTGAACCTACACAGAAAGGTTCGGCATCTATTGCTTCGAGGAGATGCCAATTGCGAACTGACTACCGACCACTCGCAATATTTGATTCTTAGAAGTGTTAGTCGTGACGTCTGGCCAAGTTGCAATGGTGCATCTAAACCCTGGTTGGCCATAGTAGCTTGGCGCCAAGTTCACAAATTTAAAAAAAACTTCATTTCCGACAGTCATGATGGATAGGGTCTGAAGAAACCACAGTAAATACTTGCGTCGTTGTAGTTGACGTTGTAGTGGGCGAGTACAAGAATCCAGCGAAGTTGCAGGTGTCGTCATATACATAGATGTTTAAAATCACAATACATGCACGTAAACGCGTTGACCAACGGGAGCAATGCATTGGGAACTACAGCTGTGAGGCGCGTTTAGATAAGCACGGCGTAATTAACTGGTATAAAAATGTAGACTTGATTATTCTGAAGGAGCCCGAGATCGGTTTGACTGCAACATTCCACCATAGTCCATAAAGCCAAGTTCTTCGTCCATCACCAGCATGTTCGTAAGTTTCAAATTTACACCAGAACAGTGAACGATAAGTAGATTATGATGTGCAAGAGCTGAATTCAAAAATGTCATCACATTTTTGAGAGTGCGATGCTGCCAATACTGTCCAACATCCAGTCACAATGAACGGTGACTCAGAATGAACGATGACTCAGAATGGGAAGTTACACAAGTTTTTTGGTGCGCACAGTTCCTGTATTTCTTGAAAATAGATGCACACGTTCTTCGTGATTAGCAAGGAAATTGGCTGAAGTTCACAATCTTCTCATATGTAAACGGCGTATTATCGAAACATTTGACTATAGCTGAAAACCACCTGGTTATAAAAAAATTTGCAGCATTTTATTCTATAAATTTCTGCATGAGATGGTGTGCCGCCTCTAACAATGGTCAGGTGAAGAACAAGTGATATCGCTTTGACTAAAAAGTATTTATCTGAATTTTCATCAATCACAACTCTGTATAGGGTTTCTTTCAGGCAAAAGCAGCTTAATCTCATATAGAGTTTCACAAACACACTCCGCGGTTTTTTTTTACAACGAAGGCCTTTACAGATTGAACTAGATTCTGTCGTTCAAAGTGGCTTTTGATGTAGCTCACGAATAAATAAATTAATTATGGTTCGGGCGAGGTACTGTGTCGGACAGCAGTGAGGGATGTCGGAGAGGTGGCAGGGAAGTGAGGGGAGTTGAGGGTAAACGCGTCTTAGTCGAACAGAGAGACCCATTCATTGTAGGCCCATTTCTCTAGATCGCTAGAATATCTTGCGCACTCTCCATTTCTTCTTTCACCCATCCCTCGTCCATCACGCATTTTCTACATATGAATGATGTCCTCGTTTTTAAATATCTTGCAAGTTGGTGTTCTGGAAGTAGTGAACATTCGAAGTGACAAAATTGTCTGCATGTGTTACATCTTAGTGCCAGTTGTCCAAAATTACATTTGATGCATTCCAGACATTCTCCTTTAGTAACTTTTATTTTTTCCTCGATCCATGTCTTTCATCAATGCCTGATATTTAAAACAAAAGGTTGTAATAATTTCATTGTTTGCATTTACTTTCACTCAAGATGTTGATGCCCCTTAAAAAATTATTCAACTTGTGAGATGATAATGAATTATTTTGTAAAATTGCGTATTTTTTATTGTGCGTTTTTATTCTTATTCTCGCTTAAACATAGAAATTTATAAAGCTATATTAGAATGGTAATAACGCACTACTAACGGACGTTATCGAACATGGAACTGTTCGTTTACTCACAGTATTTAGTAGTAGCATATATAGCATCTAATTTAAATTTAGAAACTAAATCATACAGGACATTCCGTGGTACACCAAGAAACATGAGTGAGTCATAGCGTCCAGTGATAATTATCTGGAAAAATTACACATTTCATTTAATTCATTTTACACATACACACACACACGAGCAAAGAGCGAACGTAGCTCTGATACGCTCCTCTGCCACACCAGAGTTTGTCAGGATGGCGCACACTCGCAATAAGTGCATCTTTATCTGGACAAAGACTTACTCATTTTCCTAAGTGGAATCATACGATATTCTTTGCTAGGGCAACTACCGCATTTAATAGGACCTCTATATCTTGCTGGACTGGATAACTAATTGAAAAATAATTTAAATAATCAATGTGAGTGATGACATGCTCATCATTTCTTTGCGTAATCGTTTTACATTAACATTAATGTTATGGGATATAACCCGTAGACGAAATTCGATCGCTGAAATACGGTCGCTTGAGCCTCACCTATCAGTCTTTCATTTGTCTTGCGCCTATGTTTATCTAATGAATTAGCATTAGGTATATACGAGACGACATCTAGTGGCAGGGAATCAACTGCAGGCTTGATGACTTTCGCCATGAAGTCCCCATACATCTTCTGCAGGTCAGGATGCTGGGCTCTCAGTATCATGTCAAAGACTTCGTTCAGGAAGTTCTGCATGACGTCACCTGTCGTGAAAATAAATTTAACACCTCATCTGCACTGGTATATCATTACCGTTCTTTTGATGTTAGGAATAGAAATACAAATACCTATAAATGACATAAATAAAGCGTTGGTAATTCAGACTTCATTTTTATGTAATAATGTTGAAAATGTGTAGAGTTGAGGAAAAAATGACAAGAGGCGACGTGGTCAATCCTTTACACAGGGGAAAACTTTAGGTCGCTTAGGGTAAAGATCAAGCGACGCGCTACCCATGTTGAGAACTCAGGGGCCCTGGGCTATAAAAGGAACGGGACGGGAGCGGCGTGGGAGTACTGAGTTAGGTGAGCTCGGAGTACGAGGCTACAATCTAGTCAGTCCAGAGTATAGTCTCGAAGGGGTACCTCGAGCAAGTAGCCCTAGTCAGTAGAGTGGGCGGCCGGCGTATATGTGAGGTGTACAAGTAGGTCGAAGAGACTGTCGAAAGTGTGAGTGAATCACGGTTGATACGGCCGTGTTATTACTCAACGGAACTACCACGTTGTCCACCAGATACTAAAAATATCCTTGAGAACTTAGACACGCTGGACAATCGGTTACGAAGAGGCATCAACAGTTGTGACATGCGGGAAACGAAATTGTTAACGAAGCCAAGAACTACGACAGTGTCAAGGAGAAGAAATACGAGTATTTACGAATAAAAATCGCGATCGACCAACGAAATTCCCCGAGTCCCAAGCCAATTTAGTCACCACGAGAGTTTGCGACCGGACAGCCGCCGACTGAACTTGCTTCCCAGCTATAGTCATCACTCACTTCAATTCCAAGTCCCAGCTATAGTCATCACTCACTCCCAGCTATAGTCATCACTCACAACGCATTCAAGGGAACGTAGACTGAAGAATTCATAGAAGCCACGCTCTAGGAGCTCCGAGGAGACTACGCGAGTGAATCTCGCCCAGAGAACACCTTCATGATCACAAACTTCCCAGGCCTCGTACCGAAGCATCGCAGTCATCTTTCCCGTGGATTGCCTTCCTCCACAACTCCGGGTGATGTACATATTTTAGAATTTGAGCTAGGCAGTCGAAATTAAACTAAATAGGAAAGAAAAGCGTCAAGAATTTAATAGAATAGGACCTCATAACTTTCTTAATAAAGAACACAGTATAAATTCTGCATGAATTTATGCAAAATAAAACGAAAGTTGAAAGAAACCGGATCAATTCTAACCCAGCCATGCCTCACCCGCCTAGATCCGTCATATATAAAACCTGACTATGCCCAAGCGAACACTCAACCGAAAATGATCGAACCTTTCAACCACAACCCGACTCAACAATACCAAAACTCATTCAAACCCAACTAATCCTAGCGAAAACTTGTCAGGCCAAAACAAATCTCACCAAACACAACCAACAATGACTAAAAATAATTAAAATCGACGTAATCCGATAAAAAATGACCCGAAACAATCCAAAATCACAAATTCCTGAAATTAAAATCTCCGGATATGCTTTATAAGTTCCTCAGTTTCACGGAGATTTGCTTTCACAAAATATCATCAAAAATCTGTTTATGAAACTCACTGAGAACAGTATTGCTGCCGGAGGGGTTTTCGAGCTGCAGATGATGTGATTTAGTTTTGAATAATTTCAGATTGACATTCTTCAGGTACATTCTGCCGTCCGCCCTCAAGCCCAAGTCGCTCTCGGCTACGACCTCAATACCGTCTGTAACCAGAGATGTCGAAAGTATTAAATTTTTAAATACATACTATCATACAACTTACATAGGGTCCAATAATAAACACACTTCTGTAGAACATGGAGCAATCAACCCTAGCAGTTTTAAGTACAACGTATGTGTAGTAAAGGTACATGAGTAAAACTTTGTACCTCGTAATTTCAAGTACTAAGTACTTTTCAGAAAACAAACTAATGTGTGCAGCTAAGAATAACTTTTCAGGGTGGACATAAAATGCACCGTCCCACTTCCCAAAATGACCCTCAACCCAAAATGGCTTACAAACATATTGAATAAGGTTATCTATTTTGGTTTCTTTTTCTTTATGAATTGCTTCACACAGCGCAGATTGGATAGGTGGCGGTGTTTGATGGAAGATTCTCCACTGGGACGTTACTTTCTAAAAATTTTTAAAACCTACTATCGCCGCAATCTTTCTTGTGCTTTCATCCCGCAAGGGGTGCTTGGGAAGTTTCATTACCTTCCTAGCCTGGGAAGTTCCATTGTTTCAAAATATAGCTTATTGAAGATCAGGTATACGAGAGTTATCGGAGTATACACTAACGAAGACCAGCAAAAGCCCTACCCCTGATATACTGAAATGAAGTGGTGGATCCAATCACAAACAAAATTCATATTGAGGTGGTCATGTTCAACAATTATTTCTCAATGGAAGATCTAATGAATCACAATTATCATCAAGAGATGATGCGTCAGTATGGTAGTCAACTTCAACGTAGAATCTATTTCACTCTACCCGGACGATGAGAATCATTAGGAAAGCGAATACAATCAATTTGTAATTAAATTAAAATAACAGGGCTATTTTTATTTACATAGCCAGTTGAGTACAAATGAAGGGAGAAGATGTAGAGTCGTCTGAAACATACTGATCCCTACAGCCCGCCCTCAGGTTGGCTTTTTATACTTAAAAATCTACTTATCACTGCAACGCACTCCTGATAGCTGAGTACGCTCCCGCGGCCTGCAAAGGTAGCCCGAAGATCCGCCCCATGATGTTGTATTTTATCGAGCTTCAAAATTTTTGCTGAAATTTTTAACTTTGGGGTATATTGACACGAACGTGTTATTTCAGCTGCTCGTGTTCTTATACTCGAGGTTATAATTTCTAATTCACCAACCAAGACATAAGGATCCTTTTGTGGAATGTGGAACCGAAAACTTAGATTCAGATTCGTCAAGTAGATTAACGTCGTGTGCCTAAGTTGAGTAGTGGCATCTGGCAACCTCACCAACTGGTCGGACAGCTTGCTGCTGAAGACAAGTTACAACAGAGTTACAGAGCAAATTTGTAAGGTAACTAAGTTGAATGGTTCCGTTATTGTGAACTCTATTCGAAGCGCGTCCCACGATCGCCCCAAGCTCGACAGGTATTTCACAAGATTCTGTTTCGGCGATGATTTCGCTCCAGCAACCGGAACCTAAAGCGGACATAGATACGCTAATTTACACCGCTAGGCGAGCTTGCGGCGCCTTTGTGGCAGCTGCTGACAAGAAGAAAAATTTCGATAGGAAAATAATGGAAAATATATCAGCCTGTCCTCCAAAGAACTAATGTTGAGATTGCAACGATCCCGACATCAGTAAAATTGTCAGATCAGAATCACATTCCAGCAGTGTTTATTGGTCAATAGTATCAATAAAACAGTTTTTGAAATTACTAAACTTAATGTTAGCCAATTTGATGTACGTCTAGTTTCCTTCATGAAGATAATTATAAGTACTACTATAGTTATATTTATAACTATAAGATTCCTTCATAAAGATAATTATAACCTCCCGCGACACTGCTACGGCTGGTCAACAATAAACTAAGGGACTGAGGGATTATTGTTACGAGTGGTGGCGCAATATAATCCTTCTCTATGACAGCACTATTGAGCTATACAGAGGCAGCGCTGCTTGCTTGAAAGAACTCAATACATTCAGATATGATACCAATAATCGAAATAACCTTAATCTTGTTGAATTGAAGCACCATGCAATTATTCATTGCTCGCATGTACATGCAGAAGATTCAGTCTAGTTTAGATTCTATATGTAAAGACTTCTTCTCCAATCTGTGTTAACGGGCACGAACATTTAGGCACTTATGAAGCACATTTATGAGTTCGAACAGCATGATCGTTCGTAGCAAGCGAACTACCTATAGTCGTATACGTGACAAGTGGTATATCGTTCGTATACAGCCTTAATGTAAGAAAATTATCGCCGAGGGTTGCGGTGTTACCGTCCATTGCATGTCGACGAACTGGAGCGCATGTTGTCGCCTTCCTTATATCCTAAAATACGCGCGCCTGGGGTAGGCATTTATAGACGGGTAATCATTTTAACTCAAATTTTAGGTCGTTGATGCGAACATTTTGTAGCGCCAGCAATATCAATTTATGTGCATCAATCAATTATTTATTCACATCGCTAATATAATAATTTTTATAATGATGATCGTATAATTGATTATACCATCTCAATAATGGCATTAAAGTACCGAATATTCAACAAGTAATACAGTCTCGCGATTGTTATCGTTCACTTGGAAACATGCATGCAACGTCTGGTCCTACACTGTCTTAACTTCATAGTAAGTAATTCAAATTCTGCTAAAATCTCAATTTGCTTATTGATAGTATAGTCTTATAGATGCATTTTTTGGATAAACAGTGGATGCATAAGATGCTATATTTGAATTTAGAACGATATAATACTAATTAATGCTAGTTTCAAATATAGCTGAAATCAGATTCTTTTAACACCTAATGCTCTTAAAAATATCTCATGGTAAAGCAAAATCTGCCAGAGGTGCTGATAATGCTTTGCTTGCTTTTTACGTTTTCGGCAATTGGAAAAAAATTCAATTTCTTTACAGAGATCAATATGACTTCTGATTTACACTAATTTAGTTTCAATGTCTCCCATATTTTTGTCCCCTATATATATAACGCTGAAAGAATTTCTGCTCACTTATAATGCTTTCTAGCTCTCGAAGATTTCGGAATAATTGAATTGTTTCGACGGTACATGTGAAAATGATAGCAGCCACTTACTCGAAGTAGTGGAGGTTAAACTTGGACAAGCCGGTGATGACGATGTCGTTGAAGCTGGCGCTCATCTGCAGCGGACCTTGCAGCTGGTTGAAGGTAAAGGGGCTCAGGTGGTAAGGGTCCAAGGGTGGTAGTTGCAGCTGTGGTATACCTGTGGGGAGGATAGGGTGAGGGCGCTGTCAGCGTGAGGTTGAAGTGACAAGGGTGGTAGTTGCGGCTGTGGAATACCTGTGGGGAGGATAGGGTGAGGGCGCTGTCAGAGTGAGGTTGAAGTGACAAGGGTGGTAGTTGCAGCTGGGGAATATACCTGTGGTGAGGATAGGGTGAGGGCGCTGTCAGAGTGAGGTTGAAGTGACAAGGGTGGTAGTTGCAGTTGCGGAATACCAGTGGGGAGGATAGGGTGAGGACGCTGTCAGAGTGAGGTTGAAGTGACAAGGGTGGTAGTTGCAGCTGCGGAATACCAGTGGGGAGGATAGG